TTTCTTACAAATCTTCGGTGTTCTTCTTTTTATTGTTCTAATGCACTGGTTTTTCTTGACTGCACAGCTCAGTATTTATTTTTAATTATCACGTGACACAAACTCGTCATTGTAGCCCTGGTAACGATCGAAATATTTATGATGATTGCTCAATAAATGGGTTATGGTTAGCTTTCTCGTTGCAGATGCATTAATGTGTTGATGATGGTGATAATGAAGTTTTGCGTGCAAGACTACTCAAAGTAATCATCATTCCTCCTCTGACCTTATAATCTTGTTAATATAGCCGTTGATGACATAAGTCAAGTTGTTATCAGAAATTTTTCGCTTAAATGAAGTAGCATTAATGAATGGAGGGGAGAAACATTAAATTCTATAGTTTGAAAAAGAATTAGAAATAGATAATAATAAATAAATAATCTTTTATTCTTTCTTTTTTAGGATAGACTACGAAATAAAAATTTAAAAAGAAAAAAATTCATAGTTATAAAATTCGATAGGATTGTTAAGGAAGCATCTTAAATAGTTTATTATTAAAACTTCTCAGACATAAATAGAATATTGGTCTTAAAGGAAGATATTGGTTTAAAGGTCCACATTTCCTGTTGTTTAAAAGGGTGATTTTCTCAAAACATTAACTTTTAACTACCACAATAAGGAAAAGTTCATTTCATACTTAACTTAATGTTGGTAATTTTTAAATTGGGACCATACATTTAAGTAAGAAAATCAACAATCAGCGATGGAAATACTTCAAAAATAAAAATTTACTGACAGTTTTAAATTGCTAATACAAAGGAAAATGCAATTTCTCTCCCTTCATTTAGACGCTGTAAAAGCTCCTGAAATTATTTTTAAAAAAATTTATTCTACGAATTAAGAATTAATAAGTAAATGCAGAAAGGCATTTAAATAATATTTAATTGAAAATTTAATTTAAAAAAAATTTTAGAAAATGGATTATATCTAGAATTTCGAAAAAATATTAAAAATTTTCATAAGAATTTTTACTTTTTCATTGTAAAAACATTTTGTTTCACTTGTATTTTTATATTACCTTAAGTAAGAACACATTTTATATGCACACACGTAATAATTAATTTAAACCTGAAACTTTTTTATATTTTTAAAATGCATTTTAGTGTACAGGCATGGTAAATACAAAAAGGGAAAGTAATGAAAATAAACTGGAAACATTATTCTTTTTTTTTAGTTTCAAAATATTTTTTTAATTGCACTATATGCTCTATAATAGTTTAAAAACACAATTGATATTGTTTGTTTTGCATTTTAAGATATAATTTTTATATTTCATCTAAATTGTTTGTTATAGAAATGAGTAGAACTTTACTTTGGTGGCATTTTTTAAATGACCCATAATTTAATTTTTTGTATAGTTTGTGCATGCTACCACTTTTCATGCAGTAAAATTTCACTTAAGTTTGCTCAGTTAATTAAATTTTCATACCAATAAAATTTCACTTAAATTTTTCCTCGGGTAGAAGTTTTATTCTTGACCTTCTTTTTAAAATCTATATTTATACAATTTATCCGAATTTTAGAAACGTCAAAAAGTAATTAAAACTGAAATTGCAAATTTCTTTAATGCTTTAAAATTATTATTTTTTTTTACGTAACCAATTTCTTATTTCGATTTAAAAATTTTTTTAAATGAAAACTAATAAAAAATCATTATTACGAAATTCAGATATAAATATTGTTTAAATTATAACGTAAAACAATTATGTAGGTATTCAATTCTTACTAAGAGTAAAAAGCAGACACAAAAATGCTAAATTAAATAAACTTGCAATTATAAATTTTGAAAAAAATATATTTGAGCTATTCAATTTTATTTTAAAAAAAAAGTTAATAATTTAATATTCTAAATCAAACTACAGTTGCAAGACAGAGCAGAATGTATTTATAATTATTTAAACTCTAGTAAGTAGATTATTTTATATCTCAATAATATTATTAACTGTCATAAAAACGTAATTTTTCTCCGGGTGGAATGACGTCCCTGCTCATTATATATTACTAAGTATATTTTTCTTTTTATTCATCTATTCATTTATTTCCTCATTTAATTTTTTAATTATTTCTTTGCGTTTAACTAATTATTCTGCGATAATTGTTCGATGGTTATTTACAAATGGACAAAAATCACATCTGCAAGCATAGCAATCGCATATAATTGCACTGTAGTTAGTAGTTACTTACATTAACAAAAAAAATTAATGAATAAAGCATTTATTTATCACGTTTTATGAGTATTTTAACTTGATTAAACACTAAAAAGAATTACTAATTTTACTAGTAAATGTTGGTTAATGATGGTACGAGAGATTTTTTAGGACTTTTAGATACTAAATAACAAAGGAAAAGAACGGAAATAAAGGCAGCTTAGTTAAAACACTCAGACTAATCTTAAATTATTAAAAAATCCAAACGTTTTGTCCATTGAGCGAAAGAAAGAAAATACATTTTAAAAAATATTCAATAAAACTGTTCTTAGCTTTGAAATGCATGATGCCTCATTTTTATTCAATGCATTTACCTATTGTAATAGGATTTCTGGCATATCTCTTTATTGAATTTTATAGTTCAAAGCGCTTTAGTTTCACTACCCATAGTCAGGGCTTACCCATAGTGCCCTCGCTTTCTTGAATAAATATAAACGTTGCCTAGCTTTTTTCCCCTTCTCCGATTTCGCCGTGTCTTTTATAATTTTCTTTCCCCACTGTAAAAACCTTGATGTAATTTGTGTGGAAATCATGTCGGAATCCCTTAACATCACACTTTCTACATCTAAACAGAAAGTGGATGTTTGAGAGTACAGTGACCTTTTTTTCCAATTCTCTGTTGCCATGGTTACCAAGACAGATGAAGGAATAAGGTGAGATATTTTTATGGATTGAAAAGTAAAGATACTTTTTAAGTGGTTTTACTCGATGTGGACACGTTTTTACCATTCATCGTACGCCTGAATCTTCCACGAAGTAGCCGTTTTACTCTTTTACCGTAAAAATAAGAACATTTTTTAAGTTTTTTTTGTTTCAACTCCAAAGGGACACATCTGGAAATATTTTCTCGTGAGATGTAACTTTTAGGAAATGAGAGTTTCTAATCTCTCTGGAGAGGTAAGAATCTATTTCGTGAAAAGTGCCTTGGTTGTAAAAAGTAATCATATATCAGCTTTTGTTTGAAAAAACGCTCGTAACTTCACCTACTTCTTGATGGAAGTTGAAGTTAGTTGAATTATGATGCTTTCAATTCAGGGTAAAGAAGGAAAAAAAAGTTTTAGAAGATAGTTTGGAGACCTTTTTTATACTCTTGTTTTTTATAGTTTATTTAAGCAGTTTAGAAAGAAAAAATCAATTCTGAAATTTGAAAAAAGAATCAATAAAATGTTGTTTTTTGATTTTAAAATATCTATACATATTTTAAAAATGTCAAAAAATTTCAATCCGTAGAAGATTATAGATTGGTTTGTGAAATATTATGTATAAAGACATTAAATCGATGGTAGAATTAATAGGGGGGAAAATCAACCTTCCTTCATGTCTTCTAAAGCTATATTTCAACGTTTTGAAACGAAATATGTTATTTTAAATCCGCATTTTAAGAATAATTATATTGGAATAATATACTTATTACAAATTATTTTACTATAATTTCATACTATAATTATATTCATGAAAATTGTCCGACTATCGAGAAAGTCTTCATTTCTTTTTCGCTTTAACAATAATAATTGAAAATATCGAGCGTGTGAGCTGTAAAAAGCATGAAAGCGTAAACATACAGTACTTGTTTACAACCCTAATGAAAATTCTTTTCTCGCATGGGCAGCAAATTTCTAAAACAAACTAAAATATACTTTGGGAAGGTTAAACGTGAGTAGTTCATTTCAACAAAGTGTTTCAGATTATGTTGTAATTTCACTTATGCAGGTTCAATAATAACAATTTGTTATTTTTATTCCTTAAAGAATTAGTATTGTTCGTCCTACGTATTTTGAATATAATTTTTTAAAAAAAACTTGCTAAAAGAGAAAAAGAAAGTGTTGATGCGTACATTTTCATAAGGCGTCTAACTTTACTTTGTTAGAAAATCTATCCAAACGAAGAGGACAAATTGTATAATTGAGTTAATATAACCCCAAATATTAATTTATTCTAATTAATTCAGTAATCTATTCAGTTTTTCTATCGCTTGTAATTTATTTTAATTTCAAAAATTTTATTTCACTAACTTATTATTAAATAAAAATTACAATTTTATCACAAAGAAATAATTTTAAAGATTTTAATGATTTAAATTCTTAAGATTTTAAGCTAGAACACATGTTAAATGGGTTTAACTTAGTAGTAAGCAAAGCTAGCATATTATGTCAAGCAAACCCTATAAGATTGCATAGCAATTTTCGGGGGTTAAGAAGCGAACAGGAGGCGGAACCAACTGATATTGCGAAATTTATAGCATCGTATGGGGCACATTTATATGGTATCTGAAAAAGAGATACCATATGGGTTTTATAACGAAATTTATAACAGCCTATGCTATGGGATAAATTTATTTGGGGTAAATGGAGACAAAATCAGAAATTGTAAAAAAAAATAATAAATATAGGCGATATCTAGATTATATTCTTTCCTCAGCAAAAGCACGTATTTGTCCACTGCCAAAGATTCGTTTTTTTTTTTTTTTTCGTCGTGGTGCCAACGATAATACGAAACTTAAAAATACTCCAGGGGAAATTTAAATCAAGATACCAATGTTTTCACGAGCCCAATTATCTTCAAATTATTATTGAATAATGAAAAAAACAGTTAATTTTAATTCTTAGACACTTCGAAATTGTGAGTTATTCGACTACTTTTGCATAACTATGGTAATCCTTGTGTTGTTTCTCTAACAATTGTACATATTTTCATAAATTTGACCGTTATGCTTGTTTAAAATGTTGCCTTATAGTCTTTATTATTACATTTTAGTGAAAAGTGTATGGGAGGAATTGAAATGCCGCGGCAACCGTCCACCTTGCCTTCAAGAACACACAATGGTTTGTTGGAAGGTAAGTGCTCTACTTTTTTTCTGCTCTTCATCTTTAACTTTGCTTAGAAAAAATTAATCATATTATTCTTATTTTATTTTACAGAATAATATTTATGTTTTCGGTGGAGAAATCGGTTTTGCTTCCACTGGAGAAACGCCATTGTGGATTCTTGACCTTAGTACGTATCATCACATTATGTTTATGACTTCAGTTCAATTTGTATTTAATTCAATTTGCTTAAATATCGTTTTCATTAAGTACTAAGCATAAACTTCTTCAGAAGTTAATTTATATCTGGTTATACTAATGCTTGAGACAGAAAAATTTGTATCTCTTGAAATGAATTTAGGAATAAAAATGTATCCTCTTTTTTTTTTTTCTTCTTTCCTTTTTTTCCTAAATTTTTATTAAAAAAATTATTAACTTAGATTTTGATTTTTATTCGCAGAAGCTAAAAAATACAGTTTCAACGCTGTAGAAAGTTTTAGTGTATCTTAACACCGAGAATGGGGGCAACTGCTTTACTTCAAAGTGGTGTTTCACTAAGCCTTCCACCACAAAAAAAGAAAGAATTTCTGGCATAGCGAAACACTAAGAATGTTCTTTTACTCTACTCTTGGTCTAAAGTAACTGTCACCATTTTTTGTATTCAGTAGCACTAAAATTTATAATTGCAGTAAGATATGATATACATAAGAGTCAAAAGAGTTAGTTTTACGAAACAATATAAAATGAGAATCATTAATTTAGGATGCATTTATGCACTAATTCTTAAAATAGAACTAGTTTGTAAATCAAACATAGAAATTATGCATTATACATTTAAATAGAAATATACATCAGATAGAAATTATGCATTCACATAGATTTCTTATTATACAAATAAAAACATACATTCAAATTTTAACGGCAAGCTTTTGTTTCGTTTGATGTACAGCAGCGTAGAAAGCACGACAATCTCGCTCCAACTCATTCTCAGTTGCAAACAAACTATTGGCGATATAAAAAGTACGCCAACATTAGTGTTTCCGAAAGATAAAATAATTCAAGTATGATGTAAACGTGCAAAGGGGGTTAAATGATGTAATTTAAATCGAAACGTTTTTAGTGGAATAAGCTTACGCTGAGCTTTCGCAGAATTTTCTTCAAGCCTTGTTTTCATGCTTTTTCCATTATTTTGTATTAAGTATGGTCAAAATAAATCAAATATATTATGTTTAGCATTTCAATAAATTTTCGTTATAAAATAACCTCATCGGACAACGGTGTCCTTTTTTTTTTCCTTATAAGTTTAATGTTCCAAGCATTGCTAATTTAAAAACAATAATTTTTAAAATTTGCACTTATTTACTATTATTTAGATCTAAGAGAAACAGTAATTCATCATTGAAATTTCTTTAATTTACAAAATCAATTTTTGTTTAGTTTTTGAGTATGAATGAAAAACAATTTTTTTTCAAACTACTTTTTTTTATATTGTAATACAAATATAATTGGGTATAATATGAAAAAAACACAACTACTTCGATTTAGTAGGAACAACATATGACGCAATGCTAAACGAATGGAATTTAGTTGTTGTTTATNTCATCATTGAAATTTCTTTAATTTACAAAATCAATTTTTGTTTAGTTTTTGAGTATGAATGAAAAACAATTTTTTTTCAAACTACTTTTTTTATATTTTATATTTTAATACAAATATAATTCCGAGAATTTAGCAGAATTTTTTTTTTTTGGAACTATTAGGCTGTTTTTTATATTTAAAAAATACTAAAATATATTTTTACTTGTAATTGGTGCGTTATTCAACATCATATTCAGAGAAATATTGCACCTCGGTTTTTACAATGAGGAAAACCGCTTTTAAAAATTTTTAAAAAAAGAAGAAAAAACCTGTTCGAAAAATCTAAAACACGGCTGTTTCTAGTTTTTGAGTTGCTAAATTTCTCAGAATATAAATATCATTTTTTTTTATTTAGTTTTACCTTGAACACAATAATCACCTTGAACCTTGAACATGCACGTAATACTTCAGAGAAATGCAGGTTTAATTATTGATTTCCTACTTTTCGAATAAAAGATTAAGTTTATGAACCCTATCATTAAGTTTGTCTTACATTGCAATCCATTCGCAACATTTTGGGCTTAACTAGATTAAATACTGTTTTAACAGCAATTAATAAAATAAAAAATTTCTTCAATTGATTTTATTTATTTTTTTCTTAACTGTACTGTTATATTGTTTAAATTTCATTTTCATTTTATCTTAGTTTTTTTGGGGGTATATTTACTTGCATTCATTTTGTATTTTTAATATTATGACATTTTTTAAATGCATCTTTAGAACCAATCGAAATTAAGCTTTGATACTTTTGACTATCTGCTGTTTTTGATTGTTAATAGTATTATTTTACTTTTTTATACAGATGCACAAACTTGGAGAAAGCATCACGTCCGTGGCTCATCTGTTCATCAACCGTCCGGGCGAAGAGGCCATTCAGCTATTATGTTCGATGGATTTATGCATGTATTCGGCGGATATCAAGACTTGCGTGGCTCATCCTCTGAACTCTGGATATTCGATTTAGGTACAATTTTTTATCGATAGATCGCGTGACTTAAGTCTGTTGATTATGACGCCTACTCAAGCAATTCAACGTAAATTGAATTTATTTCTGTTACTCATGTCCCCTAACAACTCAAATGTTTTCAATGCAAGTAACGTGACATTTTATATGACCCACATTTTATATATCTTTCAGCTAAATACTTGAAATTGAAAGGCAGTTTAATTGAAAATTTTTCTAGAGAACGATTTTGGTAAAAAAAAACGCCACGATTTATTTCGAGGCATTAGATGTTTCGTGGAGCTGTACTGCCATCCAGTAGACATTTCTGAAATTTGTATAATACCTCTTTGGAAACCGTAGTAAAGCAAAGTATGATGTAAAACTGTAACCTTTGGAGAAAAAAAAGTGTAGCTTATCACTACATTACTCCGAACTCTTCAATGAACAACAATTAAATTTTCATTTTGTGACGTAGCTAACTGAGCTTAAAGCCGAACCATAAATATTTTCTTCATAAAAGCCACCACTTTATAATTTTATAACCGTCGTTGAACAGCCAACCCAATTTGATGGGTTTACGACTACTAATGTTCAACTCCGTAGCCTCGTAATTTTGAACCCAATTCAGAAGACAAGGGAACTCCTGGATCGAGTATTGGCAGAAATTTTGCCTTCGTGGAGGACTTTTTGATGGAGCTAACCCGCATTTGCGTTACATAGAGAAGAAGACCACAAAAACCTCCCACGATTAACCTGATGGCAAGGGGACTTTAACCCATGATCCGTCTACCACTGCGGATATTTCACGTCAGCACCGTGGTCGGTGCAAGCCGGATGCGAAATTCGCATCGACTGGGATTCGAACCCGGTTCGCCTCATTTTAAGGCGAACGCTCTGTCCCCTGAGCCATCGCGGCTCCCACCACTTTATAGAAACCGGTTTTTGTGAATCCGCCACTTTATAGAAACAAAAACCGATTCATACAAATAACTTAAATATTTAACAGACAAATAACTTAAAAATTTTAAAAGTTATTAACTGCTTCCTTTGCCAATTTTTTTAAAGAAAAAAAAATGCAAAAATCAACATATTTTTTGTATTTCATTCATAAATACAAGGAACTAAAACAAAACATAAAACACAAGTTCTAAGTTGAAATTTTAATTTTTTTTATGTGTAAAAAATATTTAATTAATCATCAGTTAACTATCCCAAATTATCTCGGGCAAATGAAAGAAGTTAAATATTAATCTTCGTATCTTCATAATCTGAAAAATCTTCTGCATTACTTTCACACTTTTGCTCGTGAACGCCATTTTCTTACTCTTTCTTCTGCATAAATTCATCAACCATTGTATATACAGTTATACAAAACACGTCTGTAGTCCCACAGATAGCAAAACTCCCAAACAAATATTGGCTAACTTCCAATCACAACAGTTTATTATTATTTATTTATTTATTTATTTATTTTGCTTTTCTTCGGCCGAATAAAAACGTGATAATACAAAACATATTGACGAATTCTGCTATGCCCAAATTTACTCGGAATAGTAAATATTTGCAATATATATACATACCCGAGTTAACTATCAGGGAAAGGTTCAACTTTTTTAAAAATCGCCAATTTAGCGACATTTTTCCACCTAGATAAAAAGTATCAAAATCACTGTCTTATTCTCAGTTTTTGCAAATTTTTATAAGCCCAGGTAATGCAGCATTTAAGTAAGTTTTTAAATATTAAAAAATTAGACCACAAAAGCTTCTCATTTTCAACAAAACTGGGACTTTTCTCCATATTGACGTTTTGCGCCATTTTCAAACTGAGTGTAGACAGCGCTCTGATTTTAGCGACATTTTCAAACTTGACCTAACAGGCATGAATAACAGTTGCAAACTCACAACAGTTATAAAAATAGCATATTATTCGCAGGAAAGCATCTTTTCATAATAAAAAACACTTTTTTAAAAATTAAGAAAAGTGAATATATAATGTTTAATTGTTGCCAGCACAGAATTGTCTGTAAATTCATTGCTTGTTTTGTACATATAGTTAAAATTTAAACAAGTTCTCTGAGGAAATGCAGTTGCTGCCTGTGTTGATGGCAAGGAAGCTGCATATTTGGAGATGAATGAAAAGCCCTTATCATATAGTGATTTTTACATTACATTGCATTTTGTCCACAATATCCCAGATTCATTCGCATCCTGGTCATGGTACCATTTTTTCCTACAAATTACATGCTTACCTAAAAAGTTTTCAAATTTTTCTTTCTTTACCTGAAAAAAAATTCCCCAAAACATCGTAAGGTTTTAGAAGCAACCAGATACTAAGTGTGCTTGATGTCTTGTGGTAGTAAATGATTAAAGGGGTTTTAGCCATTTTGCACTGATGTACTCTGAATTGACAAAAGTCATAGTAAACCTCTTAATATCATGTCGGTTCTTAATATCAAGTTATCTCCTCTAGCTCTACGTAGTGCATCAACTGAATGTGGCATGGACTCACCAAATAGTTGGAAGTATTCAGCCTTGCAGCCTCAATAAATGTCTATATTTGAGAAACTGTTACAAGTGCAGCACTTTGTGCACGAGCTGCCTTCTGGATTATAACCTATAAATGCTCGATGGAATTCATGTCGGATGATCTAGGTGGCCAAATCATTCGCTGTTAATTGTCCAGAATGTTCTTCAAACCAGTCACGAACAATTAAATCCCGGTGACATGGCTCATTGTAATCCATAAAAATTCTATCGTTTGGGTACATGAATGCCTGCAAGTGGTCTCCATGTAGCTGAACATTACCATTTCTAGTCAATGAGCAGTGCAGTCGGACCATAGGACTCAGTACAGGCTATAAAAAAGCTTGTCATATCGTTATGAAGACACCAACTGACTGAACTGCGCCTTTTATGGCTCCATAGCTTCGTGGAGTCAACGCCACACTCGAACTTTCCCATCATCTCTGACCAACTGAAATCGTGATTCATCTGACTCTTGACTTCGTAAATCTAGGAATGTTGAGTTCTCTCGCGATTTCCGAAATGGAATGTCTCATGCTTCTAGTTCTAACTACCATTCCACGTTTAAAGTTAATCAATTCTCGTCTGGCGGTCATAATTACATCAGAAACATTCTCAGGTGAATAAAACTTGAGCACAAATAAAATCCTGTCAGTGATTTACTCATATATACATTTTGTACTATTACTGCCATCTGATTATTTGCATACTGCTATCCTTTGACTTTTGTCACCTCAATGCATATAAACTTTTATTTTTTCGTGATTTTAAGGTTTTTTCCATGTGTTTTATGCTCCGGTTTAAATATTTGTTCTTGACTGATTTACTGCAAATTGTTGCTTTGAAGAATCTGGAATTTTTTTTCTTCAGAACTTTGGTATGATCCCGATTACTCACAGTAATCATTCCGTACTCTTGAAATCCGTTTCTAAAATTATGCAAAGACAAATTCAGCTTTGCCTTTAAAAAAGACGCTGCTTCATAAGTTTTATTAATCTAAAAAAATCGACGTGCTAAGCAATATTCTTCGCTCATATTGAAGAAAATTGGAACAAACGTTGGCTAGTTTTCCTTTATTCTTCCATATATTTCCTTCCATTAAACCACAACTCAATATATATCTTCCTCTTCTAAACGTGGAAGGTGAGAATAGAAAACAGGAAGCGTCAGATATCCGCCCAGGGAGCTGATCCCGTTTGACTGATGAATCCGGTATGATCGGAAAGTGTCTCATTCGATTTAAACCCAATATTCCCTACGTGTGTAGTAGTTTTTTTTTTCCAGGTTAGGGGGGAGAGGAGTTAAGAGTCTTGGAGTCCTTCAAACTCCAAGACTCTTAACTCCTCGTTTCATGAATAAGTCACAAATCGTCATTCGAAACTCGTGAGTGACGCGTGTTCGGTTTTGACTCACTTCTGGAAGGGGGAAAAACGGGAAAGAAAAATCATTACAGTGTTTTTTCTCCTCCCCAAGAAACTGGATGAAGAGACAATTTGAATGACGATTTGAAAGGTAGTGTTCGTCAGCTTAACGAGCACGTTCGGTGAGCGTGGTTATTACCTCGTTTTCCAGCTCCTTAGGGGTGTGTTTTCTTAAATGGTAAATCGTGCCACTCTGCTTCCCGAAAACGGGAGTTTTATGATTCCTTTGGTTTTTTCATGTTCCTTCCGTTTTTGTTACTGGTTACCGATTCGAAAATTGAAAAAAGTGTTAGGATTCTTAAAACTATTAAGATTGTGAGTTTTTTAATAAATCTCGTTGGGTTTTAATTAAATTTTCTCATTTTTGTTTTTAACTTTCTTGAGAACTTTAAAGTTTTATCTTTTATGTATTACTTCTGTTTACCTTACGAAAGGCGTTTATATTTCGATTACAAAGATCTTTCTTTTTTTCTTCCTTAGTTAAGAAAATAAATTTCTAAATTTCTTTTTCTCCTCAAAAGGGTGTTTCAGGGAAGTTTTTTTTTTTCGCATTTTATTTTTATATTCAGATTTGTTCTGTCTTTGGATTTTTCCTCTGTGAATAAATATGGTACTAACAGTTCCAAAAGGTTCTGATTTCTGTCTTCTTGATATTTTATTTTGTATCAGACCTAGTTTTCAGTGCCATTTAATTGACTTACTTTAAGTATAGATTATTTTATTTTGTTTCACAGCCGATTCGTATTAGAATTTGAGGCTATCAATATTTAATTCTGAAGCCGTATGATTTAAACCCAACTCCGAAGACAAAAAAAAGCTCCCAAATCCTTCACGGAGAACTTTTTATATAAAACTAACCTACATTTGCACTACGAGGAAAGGAAAACCACCCATCCTGCCTTGGGTACGTTTTTTACGTTTTAGCCATTAAACTGTACATTCAATCCAATTATTATCAAAAACGACTTGAAATAAAAGCAGTACTATTAAATGGATTTAATCTTTGATTTTCCTTAACCTTATAAGTGTTTTTTTTCTTCTAATTAATCAACTCTAAAGTCTATTTAAGAAGCT